TAGTTTTATTATTTGAAATCTTTTAAAAAAAGTCTAAATCTAATAAAATAATCAATATATTTTAAAATTTTTTAATATTTTCATTAAAATATACACATTATTTATATTTATAATAAAAAAAAAATTATTAGATTTAAAAAATATTTATAAAAAAATAATTAGAAAATAAAACTAATTTATAAAAAATTTATTAAATTTAAATTAATTAATAAGAATAAAAAATTTATATAATTTTTTTTTTTTAAAAAAAAAAATCTATTATTATTTATAAATTTTATATGTATTTTGTCAAAAAAATAATAAATAAATAATGTATAAATAATAAAAAAATATTTTAGAGTTATTTTTATTATAACTTATTTAATAATAGTTTAATGATTTTTTTTTTTTAATAAAATTATAAAAAAGAAATATTTTATTATATATAATATTTGTTTTAAAAATATTCATTTATTTATTTTGAGATTTCATAAGAATTTAATTTGGGTTTTTATTTTTCATCATTTTTTAAAATATTATCTAATTATTTATTTCTTTCTTGATCACTAATAATAAGTATAAAAATAGAAAGAATAAGTTTAATGTTAATCAGTATCAATACAGTCATGCTTATCTTACATATTTCTAACTTTAAAACCTGCAGTTTAAAATAAAGTTCAATTTTATGAAAGCATGTTAGCTTTTAAATAATAATAAATATATGTTGGTATTATAAAATTAAGAATTCTTAATGAAAATTTTAGTTCAAATTAATTTTAATTTTCATCTTAAAAATCGAAAAAAAATAATTCCCAAACTTAAAATCGAAATTAGTTGTATGTAATTGAAATTATATTTATTTATTAATTTTAATATAAAATAGCTCTTGTAATTATTAAGTCATTAACATTTACAACTTTTTGATAATCAAATTAAATAAATATTTTTAATTTTAATTTATTTTATTTAATAGTTATAAATAAATATAGAGAAACAAATAAATTATTTAATGAATCTTTACAATCATTTCCAGTAGTTAGGTTTATACATTACCAGTTTATAGTTATTCCATAATTAGTTGATTTTAATAAATCTTTTTCACTTGGTGATAAATTAGGATTATCTACAATTGCTTGTATATCAAAACTTTAAGAAAATAATTATTATCTATTTCCTCCTAAAATTTAAACTAAAGGAATTTTATTATTAGATTTACTCATTCATTTATTTAAGTTATTTTATTTGCTGTATTTAAATTAGAAGAAACAATCGTCCAAGAAATTTATTTTAACTTTCTATTTCCAGAATTAGAAATACTAGATGCTTATTAACATATCGAAACAGAACTTATTTAAGTTAACACAATAACTGGATTTGAGTCTAAAATTATTTTTCCAGTAGTTATTTATTAAAGAAAATTAGGGCAATCAAATCCATTATTTGTTAATTTGAATAAACCTGGTTTTATTTTTATTATATCATCCTTATTAACAGTATCAAGTTAAACTATAAGTTTTTTTTAAGATTTGTTGAAAAAACACAAAATATTTCCTTATAATTTGGCTAAATTAAAAATAATAAGATTAATTTACAAATTACTATAATAATAATAAAAATCTATAATTAAATCCAAGAAATCAAAACTAAAATATATTTTAGTCATTATATTTAAGCGTGAATTGCATTATTTATTTTAATTTTATTAAAAATATTAAAGGGTTTTGCATGTAAGACATTCAGTTGCACTGCATGTAGCATATCCAGTTAAAAAAGTAGATCACATAGTACAGGCTTAATTGAAAACATTAGGATTATTTTGTTATTACAATCATCACAAGTTCTTGTTAAAGTATTTATATATTTTCCTCTTCAGCATGAAAAATACATTAAGAATCATTAATAAAAATATTAATTTTACATAACTCACAAGAAATTATTTCTCTACATTATTAGAAATTTGAAATACATTTAAAAAACTAATTTTTATTATAATAGTAGCCTGTAATACAAGAACTAAAAGAATTATCGTTAATACGTGCAAAGCATTAATACATAAAACTCAAACTATAATGAAAAAAGTCTGTAAAGCAAAAATATTTTTTTTTAGGGCTTTCATTCAAGTTATTAGTAAATGTAAGATTAATTGTTGCTTAAGTAGTATAATAATCGAATACCACAAATTAAAACTATTCACCTGATAATCCTCCATATAAATTTTACGAAGTTTCTTTAAGATATCTCCATTAATGCTAATAAACAGTAAATAACTTATTATACCATTAATCAAAAATTATAAATAAAAATGCGATTCTATAACCAAAATTAGGTTTAGCTGATGTAGCGCTTATGTTTATAATACAACTTTTTCCATATATATTTATGAATCGCATATTGAAGTCCATCTTATTCCATTATACCAAACATGTTAAAACCACAATTGATAATATCTGATTGCTAAAAAAAATACAAACATTATTTCAAAATAGTTAAAGCCAATAAGTAAAAAAAAAAAATTAATATTATTAAAATAATTTTTTTCCTTAGTTTTAATTTTATATTCATAATTTATATTTTTTAAAAAAATGTATATTAATGTTTTAAATATAATTTCAAAATTTTATATTATTTATAATTTTGATATTATTTAGATAATAGAAAAATTATTAATGAATCAAAATTTTAAATACCATTAATACATAAATAAACATATAAAAATTATGTTAATTCTCTAAAATTCATTTTTATTATATATTTATTATATTTATATAATGATTAATTCTATTTTAACAATTTTTTAATATTCAGTTTTTAAATAATTGCAATAATAATATAAAAAAATTTGCTAAAAAAGAATTAAAATTTTATATGTAAATAATTTATTAAAAATAAATTAATATAAAAAACAAAATCATTAATATTAAAAACCAAAAATATATATAAATTATTATATAAATAATTTATATAATTAATTAAAAAAACTTATTATATAAATAAAGAAAAAATATCTATATTAAAAATATTATATAAATAAATATTAATTATTTTAAATTTATTTTTTATTTTTTAATAATGTTTAAAAATTATATAAATATATATTAATTTAATAAATATAAAATTTAAATATGTTCATTTATACCAATTTAAATTATTATTTACCTGATTTTTAATATTTAGATATAATTATTTTAAAAAAATACATAACTTAAATTCCCAATGTTTGAAGCATATATTTTTATAATTCACACTTTAAAAAACTTAAAATTTTTTTATTTTTATATATTTTAATATTAATGATATTAATGAATAAAAATTATAATATAATATTAATTTTTTTTTTTCTTAGATTATTTATTTGATTATTAATTTTTAAAAACATAATTTTTCATTTTTTTTAATCAAAATATGTTTTAAGACATAAATAATAATTTTTATTTTATAAATACTTATAAATAAAAAGTAATTTAAATAAAAGAAAATAAAAAATAATTAAAAAAGAAATATGAAGAAAAGACAAAAAATACTTTTTTTTGATGGAGAATTATATATAATCTCACAAGAATAACGTATTAAAAAAAAATTGAAATTATTCATTTGGTAAAATAAAAATTTATAAAAAATTATTAACAAAATAATAAATCTCAAAAAATATAGTAAAAATAAAGTACAAATAAAATAAACTAAAAAAAAAATGAAATATCAATAAATAAAAAATATAAAAAAATAGAGTTTATATATAATCTTAATATTAAAATAAAAATTCTTATAAAAAATTTATAAATAAAAATAATTTTTTTAATAAATTAAAAAATATATTATTTAATAAATTGGAATATATAATTTAAAAATTTAGGATAAAAATATATAGAAAAAATAAATATATAAATTATATACATATATATGTATATATTTATATTTATATTTATATATATTTATATTTATATTTATATTTTTTTTATTAGTTTTTTTCTAATCTTTTACAATATCTATTTTATTTTTTATAATATTTTTTTTATAATATTAATTTATTATTTTTTATATCATTTTTTTTTTTTTTTTATAAACATAATATTTTAATATTATAATTATTTTTATATTATTATCTCAATATTTTTGTTTAAATTATTAATATAATATATATTTATTTTATTTTATAATATAATAATAAAATACTACAATAATAATAATTTACTATTTTTTAATCATATATAATTTTATTAATTATAAATAAAAATTTCTTATAATTTATTAATTAATAAAAAAAAAATAATGTTAAATTTAAATTATTTTATTTATATTATTTTTTAAATAATTTTTTTATATTTAAACCTACAATGATTCATTTGAAATCTAAGAATTTTATTAATATAATTTTTTTAATTTTAATTCTATTATCTGTTCTTAATTCTTAAAAAAAAACACTTTTAAAATAATGTTTAAATTCACCCTTTTTGCCTTAAGATGTTTATGATTGCGGTTTTAGCACTATTAATATGTCTGGATTAGATATAGTTTAATTATGTGGTTCAAAAAATATTATAGGAGGATTTAATAAATGTGGAAATAGCTGTCATATAAATTTTTAATATGTATTTACAAAACCTGTATATAGTATTTCAATCAGCTTTTTATATATAATGATTGATTCCTGGAATCATGGTGTTGATTTTTTGTCTATTAAAATTAATCGAAATCATGTTTAAAATTTATATAAAAATGTTGCTTCTACTGAAACATGTGGAAGAAATAATATAAAAGAAGAATATTAATAAGCGAATATCGATTTTATAATTAATAATTAATAGAAAATTAAAATTGAAATTACTAGTAGTTATACTACTGATTTTGACTCTTATTAAAGATCTTTTGGCATTACAGACTTTAAACTTTATGCCTTTGAATGTATGCCTTAATGTGCTGGATGTATTAACAGTACATCTTGTAGCTCTTGCAATAAAGGCTATTATTTAAAAAAAGATAATTGTTAAAAATGTATTAAAGGATGCTCAAAATGTAAAGATGGAATGTCTTGTGATTAATGTAAAAGTGGATATTTTTATGATGATTCTAAATGTATTACTTCATGTCCAAAAGGAAAATATGCAGATATTTCGAAAAGAACTTGCAATAATTGTAATAATAAATGTGCAACTTGTTCTAATGCTAAAGATTGTGATACTTGTTTTGAGAATAGAGTTACACGTGCTTGTGAATGCCCTGCGAATACTTATGATAGCTTGGATTACAAAAAAGCTTGTACTATATGCTCTACTATATCTATTGGATGTTCTAATTGTAATGCTACTACTTGCTTAGCATGTCTAACGACGTATTTTTTAGAAGGAAATTCATGTGTAAAGAATTGTCCTCCAGGCAAATATGGCAATACGACAAATAGATAATGTACAGCTTGCTTAGACAAATGTGCAACTTGCTCTAATGCTACAGATTGTGATACTTGTTTTGAGAATAGAGTTATACGTTCTTGTGAATGCCCTGCGAATAGTTATGATAGCTTGGATTTCAAAAAATCTTGTACTATATGCTCCACTATATCTATTGGATGTTCTAATTGTAATGCTACTACTTGCTTAGCATGTCTATTGCCGTATTTTTTAGAAGGAAATTCATGTGTAAAGAATTGTCCTCCAGGCAAATATGGCAATACGACAAATAGATAATGTACAGCTTGCTTAGACAAATGTGCAACTTGCTCTAATGCTACAGATTGTGATACTTGTTTTGAGAATAGAATTACACGTGCTTGTGAATGCCCTGCGAATACTTATGATAGCTTGGATTACAAAAAAGCTTGTATTGAATGCTCTACTATATCTAATGGATGTTCTACTTGTAAAGCTAAAACTTGCTAAGCTTGTCTATCGCCGTATTTTTTAGAAGGAAATTCATGTGTAAATATTTGTCCTCCTGGTAAATATGGCAATACGATAAATAGATAATGTTCAGCTTGCTTAGACAAATGTGCAACTTGTTCTAATGATACAGATTGTGACACTTGTTTTGAGAATAGAGTTACACGTGCTTGTGAATGCCCTGCGAATAGTTATGATAGCTTGGATTTCAAAAAACCTTGTACTATATGCTCCACTATATCTATTGGATGTTCTAATTGTAATGCTACTACTTGCTTAGCATGTCTACCGACGTATTTTTAAGATGGAAATAAATGCGTAAAAGTTTGTCCTCCTGGCAAATATGGTAATTTGACAAATAAATAATGTTCAGCTTGCTTAGACAAATGTGCAACTTGTTCTAATGATACAGATTGTGATACTTGTTTTGAGAATAGAGTTACACGTGCTTGTGAATGCCCTGCGAATACTTATGATAGCTTGGATTACAAAAAAGCTTGTATTAAATGCTCTACTATATCTAATGGATGTTCTACTTGTAAAGCTAAAACTTGCTAAGCTTGTCTATCGCCGTATTTTTTAGAAGGAAATTCATGTGTAAATATTTGTCCTCCTGGTAAATATGGCAATACGATAAATAGATAATGTTCAGCTTGCTTAGACAAATGTGCAACTTGTTCTAATGATACAGATTGTGACACTTGTTTTGAGAATAGAGTTACACGTGCTTGTGAATGCCCTGCGAATAGTTATGATAGCTTGGATTTCAAAAAACCTTGTACTATATGCTCCACTATATCTATTGGATGTTCTAATTGTAATGCTACTACTTGCTTAGCATGTCTATTGCCGTATTTTTTAGAAGGAAATTCATGTGTAAAGGATTGTCCCCCCGGTAAAAATGGCAATACGACAAATAGATAATGTACATCTTGCTTAGACAAATGTGTAACTTGCTCTAATGCTACAGATTGTGATACTTGTTTTGAGAATAGAGTAACACCTTCTTGTTAATGCCCTGCGAATACTTATGATAGCTTGGATTTCAAAAAACCTTGTACTATATGCTCCACTATATCTATTGGATGTTCTAATTGTAATGCTACTACTTGCTTAGCATGTCTATTGCCGTATTTTTTAGAAGGAAATTCATGTGTAAAGAATTGTCCTCCAGGCAAATATGGCAATATGACAAATAGATAATGTACAGCTTGCTTAGACAAATGTGCAACTTGTTCTAATGCGACAGATTGTGACACTTGTTTTGAGAATAGGGTTCCTTAATAATGTAATTGTCCTTAATATTCATATGATTCTAATGTTTTCAATTAAGCCTGTGCTATGTGTTCAACTTTTTCAACTGGATGTGCTACATGCAATGCAACAGAATGTCTTACATGCAAATCTCCTCAATATTTTTAATAAAATTAAAATAAATAATGCGATTCATGTTAAAATATAATGACTAAAATACATTTTAGTTCTGATTTCTTGGATTTAATTATAGATTTTGGTTATTATTATAGCAATTTGTATATTGATCTTGTTATCTCTAATTTAGATTTACAAAGTTATTCTTCTTAATTATAATTTACTTATTAACTTTGTATGGAAACATTGGATATAACTTTTATTAAAACCAAATTATAAGGAAATATTTTATGTTCTTTTGATAAATATTTTAAAACACTTACACTTAAACTTGATACTGTAAGTGCTATTAATAATGATGATATAATAAAAATAAAACCTGGTGTATTTAAACTAGCAAATAATGGATATTCTTGTTCTGATTTTCTTTAATAAATAACTGGAAAATTAATTTTAGAATCAAATTTAGTTATAGAATCAACTTAAACAAGCCCTATTTCCATATGTTAATAAGCATAAATAATAATATCATGTATTTAAAACTGTGGTAATAAATTATTTAAATAAATTACTTGGTCACTCATTTCTTCTAATGTAAATACGCAAAATGAAATAGCTTAAATAAACGAGTAAATTTAATAATAAAATAACAAACTAGTTTTAGATATACCACCTTTATAATTAAAAAAAAATGGATAATATTAATTCTAAGTAGATGTGCTTTCCTAGTTTAACTAAGTAGCAACTGCAAATGCAATAATATAAACATTATAAGACACATCAATAGACATAAGAGTAAAAACAAATCCGAAATAAATTTATAGAAATAATTTAGTGAAAATAAATGTTTATTTTAATCTTTTGTAATGTGAAGATGATGGAAAAATATCTTATCATTAAGAAAATGT